ATGTGGGTTTGCCGCGGGTCTGCCAGTCTCCATCGGCTTCGTTGTTGGAGGATCCCTTGTCTCCGCCTCCAGCCTCTGAGTCCCCCCCGTCTACGCCTTGGTTGCCTGAGCCATCTGCTCTGCCTTGGCCCTCCGGATCCTCTCCGTCACCCTGAGTTCTTCATAACTACTCGCTTTTCTTGCTTGCATCACAGAACACCTGACCACTGTTCATACCATCATCAGTAAACTCTGACAAATCTTCTAACTCGTCAGCAATGTTCTCCTCTGATCCTCCTGCCTGAGCTCCATCATTCATCCCCTCTAAACCTCATGTTTTTATTCTATCATTCATCTCAATCACATCATCAGCAGCAGTCTGAAAACACATCTACCATCAGTGACATTCACACATCCAGCATTGACACTGTTTTCACTCACATTTTCACGAAAACACACACAACAAGTGAAACAGGAGTTGGACGTCGGGAAGAAATTAGTGCTGCAAGCTGTTTGTGTGATGATCTGTTCTGAAAATTTTCGCTCCATTTTGTGTATCCAAACTTTCCTTAAAGCCATGTTGCTGCTGCTGTTTTTCTTACGCTGATCTCAACCCATGCCTTGCTCTCTCATCGGCTGTAGCTCGTTGTGACACCTGACACCACATGTAGTCGGCCAACCAGTCCAGATATTTGGCATGGTAGATATTCGTTTGGCGTCAGCGAGCCTCTTTGACGCATCGTCAGGTAGTTCACACATAAAGATTGTAGAGCGTTGATCACCCGCTGATTTTCCCCCAAACACAGCCCGACCTGTCGGCGAGCGCATTGACTTACAAATCGGGCTTAAAATCATGTAGTGTGAACAAAGCCACTAGAAGGCAAGCCTGCAACCTTTAGCCAAAGAAGCGTAACGGCTAATGCTAACGCTTCTGCTTTGGCAGTATGTGGGAAAGGAGACCAGAGGCCTTTTTTTTTTTTTAATGGATGTCAATGAAGGAGAGGCTTCACTACGCTGAATAAACAGCTTTTTAGAGGAAACAGCTTGTCATTTAATGAATCGACAGCCTATCGGCTAATATTCAATGTGTTTTACACGAAACAGTTTTGGATTGAACTATTTTTAGAGTTTACACTGACAAAATGACGTTTTATAAGAGAAGTCACTGACTTTTTGTGACAGGTGGGATTCAGCTTACGGCACTTCTCATTAATTCCTATGGTATCTGTAAATGGAGATTGAGTGTCGCACAACTCTGACTGAAATTCAGTGACGTCAAGGCTGTAATGTGATTGGTTATTAAGGTACACATGACCCAAGTTAACCATTATGCTTTCTCCAATAGTAAGTAATACAGACCCTCTCATCTCCCAATAGTAAGACAATCTCTCGTGTGTACTTGGCTTTAGGGATTACCTGGAGCGTCATGAGCAGGCCCTAAAATTAACACTCGCCAAGTGCCAAATGCGAGTAAAAATCAGCTTTGGCGAGTATATGAAACTGTGTCAGTCGCCAGATGGCCGGTAGTATTTGTATAAATTCTAACAGTGCAATGTTATGAGAACATAAATGTGAACAGATGTGAATGACACTTCGTACAGTTGATGGGTCAGTGCTGCTTCATCACAAAAGTTTAAGCCTTTGCAATGTAAATATTTAAGAGCTAGAACACACTAAAGGACACGCATTACTCACGTGCTGTGTGGGAAGTTTAAACATCCGAAGGCCCGGCTTCAAAGTCTTGAGCTCTGCTTCCTTCCTGCGCTTGAACGGACAAATTCACATAAAATTGTCAAAAATGCCCATCTCGATGAGTATCCTAGTAAAGTAGTTGGTTCTTAAGTGAACATGAACAGCTGAGAAAGAAACCGGACACAAACTGCGTGTGATGCAATGTCAAAAGACAATAGAACCCATTATAATCAGTGATGTTGTCTACACAGGATGTGGCGCGGCACGAAACGACAAATCCCCGAAAGTATTTTTGAAATAGTCCAAACAACGGCCGCTTTGTCGCATCCAGTGTTGACAAATTCAAGCTGCTGTGGTGTAGACACTGTGTTAAAGTGATAGACACAAAATTCCAATAATCCTGTTGTTGTCTGCGTTTTTAATGTTGATCAAAGAAAATAGGACAAAGAAAAAAAACAATCCCCCACTGCTCTTGAACTTAAAAAAAAATATAAAGACTATAGTGTTATTTGATTAGCATAATTCATTAAATTTCTGTAGGCTACCTGAAAATCACTGTTAGACCTATCATTTCTATTTGTATCTTTATTGTGTAGTAGGCTATTTTGTGCTATTGCTTGTAATTTGATTTGCTCTTATTTTACAACTGACTATTTACTAGTCTTTAAAAATGTAGCCTATTCAATTTATTTTATTTGAATTCTGGCGGTCTCTCGTGACTGCTCATGACGCACGCTGTGACACACCTGTCATCTAGAAATATAGGGCTAGAAATAGTCTTAGAAAAATAAAAAAATAATAATAAATTCAGTGTGGTACAATTTTTTTCAAGGCACTTCAGTGTCTGTAACTTTTTATCTTTTTGAGCATTATCAACTCTGGATGATGGATAGTAAAGCCCAGAGGGTCTTCTTTCCAAAGACACCAAAATTGTGTGTGTAGCACACTGTTGTCAGGAACTGTTACCATTTTAAGTTAGGTAGGTCATTTTCAGCTGTGAGTCCCAAAATGGGGGGTGCAGGTTAAATATTAGCTGCAACTTTAGCGCCTCTAATCTGGATGTTTCATCAGCACCAAAGCCACATAGTGCCAAGACTTTATCATTTGCTATCAATCTCTTGGCAAGTAAAGAGCAACAATGTGTTCCCAAGGCTAACGACCATTTAGAGCATCTAAGCATACTTTTCCTGGCATTGATGGTTGACCATAATATTTTAATGCTGCTAAGGATCTACTTTGTACTGCTCCTGTTCTCTCTGCCCCCAATTTTTCATCACCGTTCCAGTTACAGGTGGATGCCAGCGCTACTGGAGCAGTCCTGCTGCAAGAAGATCAAGGTGGAATCGAGCATCCTGTATCTTTTTTCTCCAAGAAGTTCTCTAAGACCCAACAAAATTACAGCACAATTGAGAAAGAAGCGTTAGCTCTATTGTTAGCACTTCAGCATTTTGAGGTGTATTTGGGTGGAAGTCCTAGTACCATTACAGTTTATACTGAATATGAATCAATAAAACGTTCAAACTTCAATGAACATAAGAGTCGTGACTAGCAGTGAACTGATGTATAAGCTAATCATCGTTGTTAGCCTATGAGTAATAATATATTCTATTGCATATTTGCCGATTATTTAAAATAAAACAATTAGTTGATTGTCCTGTCAATCTAAAGGAGGAAGAAAAGTCCTTCAGTGAAGATCGACTTTGGCAGAGTTGCAGTTTGCAGCATAAAAAACAATATAATTTAAATTTTGAATAAATTATATGCAGAAAGTGAATAATGAGAAAATACTAGACTATTAAACAGTTAACGTTATATAGAAATGGAACAGAAAGGTTATAGAATAAATGTAATACTTTAATAATTCTTTAGTACTAATAATAGTACTACAAATAATATTAGGCTATTTAATTATATAATACATTTTAGTTGTGCATTAATAGTGCTTTAAAACAAGGTGGCAGAAAAGAAATCAAACTGTCAGTATTGGAATCAGCAGATGTTGTTCTGTTTTCGATATGATGATGAAAAATCTACATGACATTTCCATAATGAAGGTGCATACACAATATGTGAGAGGTTTCCATTAAGTTTAGGGTAATCTGAATTAACAGCGACTCTCTTTTCCATTTCCAGTGTCATTGGGTGTTATGCCTGAAGCAAAGGTGTATTTAATTTTGGTTGGATGTGAAATCTTATGTAAATTTGATTAAGAAATGAGATGTCTGGAATTTGAAACATGCCTGGATTTTTTCTCTTGAATAACGTGTCAAATTTAAGGAAATGAATCACTTTCATGAATTGGATGTATACAGATGAAGTATTGTGCCAAACGTTTTACAACTGTTTGACAGATGATCTTTCCTACGCAACAATTAAAATCAGAGCTGGTGAATTGTGGGAATCGGGTCTCTTGAGAAGAGTGAAATGGGGCGCTCCACATCTGCTGTGTTTCCTCTCATCTACAACAATAGTGTTGGATTGTGAGATTTAGTCCAAACACTTGCAACCTGTGCCAGCAGACATGTCATGTTTTTCCAGAACACAGCCTTAATCACAAAGCGAATCTGTTGAATATTTATTGCAGGAAATCTGGTACTGATAATAGTCACTCAGAAAGAAAGTTTCTGCGGGAATGTTTTGCCGTTTCTTGTGGTTTCAGTGAAAATTTGTTTTGTCTTGAAATGGTGTACTTTTGACAGTTCCAGAAAGTACAAACAATGCTACGTAAAAAAAAGATGTTTTCTACATCTACTCCCTCACGTGGTTATTATTATATATGTAGTGTATATAGTTATTGTGTTGTGTGTTTCGATTAAAAATATTTGTAGACTACAGTAGTCTGAGACTTTTTCCAACTTCAGCAGAGGACAATAAGGAATACACTATTTCCACATTATACCACATATCTGAAATGGTAGTAAATAATTTTGTCATGCTAAAGTGTCACACACCATTACACACACATCAGTATGGCTTCTACTTAGGCAAATTATAATACTAAATAACTGTGACTGGAAACAGAATTGATGCATCATTTGGACTTGAGACTTGACTTCAGAGACTTGCGAACATCTGATTTCACAAGTCCAACTTTTACAATTTATTTTCCATTCTGATCTGTCATTTTAATCTTTGACAATTGCGAAACTTCAACTTGCAATAAATACTAAAGTGTTGTCAGCTGTTTGGGTGTAAAGCACTAAAATACGGGACAAACTGCTTCCCGATACAGAACGCAATTGTGTTCCAATTCTGTATAATATGTGCTAGTTGGCAATGGTCTTATTTATCTCCCACTGTTCTAATCGCTCTCTCTCTCTCCTCCTCAGATCTGTGGCTTTGTGAACGCTATTAGTCCGGTTGGGAATGATCAGCAGAACCTAATGGCTTTCCGCTTCTCTGCATTTAACCCCATCTTGGACCCCTGGATCTTCATCATTTTCCGTAAGGCGGTCTTCCACCACATCCGCGCATTCTTCCGCTGCTGCTTCCCCAGAGATGTAGTGAAGACCACAGCACAAACTCCCTGTCCTTCCCCATGGAGGCTGCAGATGCCAAACACAGCTCAAGCATCCAGACTAAGATCAACTGCAGCCTACGCAATTGTGTTCCAATTCTGTATAATATGTGCTAGTTGGCAATGGTCTTATTTATCTCCCACTGTTCTAATCGCTCTCTCTCTCTCCTCCTCAGATCTGTGGCTTTGTGAACGCTATTAGTCCGGTTGGGAATGATCAGCAGAACCTAATGGCTTTCCGCTTCTCTGCATTTAACCCCATCTTGGACCCCTGGATCTTCATCATCTTCCGTAAGGCGGTCTTCCACCACATCCGCGCATTCTTCCGCTGCTGCTTCCCCAGAGATGCAGTGAAGACCACAGCACAAACTCCCTGTCCTTCCCCATGGAGGCTGGAGATGCCAAACACAGCTCAAGCATCCAGACTAAGATCAACTGCAGCCTCCCCCAGTGAGGCCTTGATGAGCGACTATGCACTTATGATGGCATGCAATGAGATATAACAAGACGATGAGACTTAGAATCCTGAAAAGACTGCCTAATATAAAATATCCCAAATATAAAAGCATGGATGTCAAAGGACCTGTTTCCTTTGAGGATAAATATTTTGTAAATATGTGAACTAATGCCCATCACTAAACAGGCTCTTCTGTGCAAGTAAACCACAGAATTTGGTTGTGCAAAGATGTGAAGGAAAGTTGACAAATGAACAGAATGTAAAGACACAAACAACCAATGTCAATTTGGGGAACTGGCACATACCACAAGTTTACCAATAATCACCAAGCATAGAACATCATAAACTTTGAGAAGATAAGGTTGGCCACCAACTTGCTCAGTAATAGACTAATGGAAGGGGAAGTCTTAATAATTTATAGCAGAGACATTGGATATAATAGGAATGATCAGCAGAACCTAATGGCTTTCCGCTTCTCTGCATTTAACCCCATCTTGGACCCCTGGATCTTCATCATCTTCCGTAAGGCGGTCTTCCACCACATCCGCGCATTCTTCCGCTGCTGCTTCCCCAGAGATGTAGTGAAGACCACAGCACAAACTCCCTGTCCTTCCCCATGGAGGCTGGAGATGCCAAACACAGCTCAAGCATCCAGACTAAGATCAACTGCAGCCTCCCCCAGTGAGGCCTTGATGAGCGACTATGCACTTATGATGGCATGCAATGAGATATAACAAGACGATGAGACTTAGAATCCTGAAAAGACTGCCTAATATAAAATATCCCAAATATAAAAGCATGGATGTCAAAGGACCTGTTTCCTTTGAGGATAAATATTTTGTAAATATGTGAACTAATGCCCATCACTAAACAGGCTCTTCTGTGCAAGTAAACCACAGAATTTGGTTGTGCAAAGATGTTAAGGAAAGTTGACAAATGAACAGAATGTAAAGACACAAACAACCAATGTCAATTTGGGCAACTGGCATATACAACAAGTTTACCAATAATCACCAAGCATAGAACATCATGAACTTTGAGAAGATAAGGTTGGCCACCAACTTGCTCAGTAATAGACTAATGGAAGGGGAAGTCTTAGTAATTTATAGCAGAGACATTGGATATAATAGCAAAAGTCAATAATGACATGCAACCAAGATATGGGGTGGAAAACACTTTGCATATATCACTTTAAAGCTTTAAAGGTTAACGTCCTTCTAAAATCGACACACTTTTATGCAAACCCAAACTGCAGTGCCAAAAGTGTACGGTGTGACAAAATATGTGCTGAAAAGTTGTTTAGTAGCGGACAGCCAATCATATTGTTTGTCTCATTAAATATTCATACAGCTTGGTTTGTTTTTAGAATCTGAGGGAAACAGTTAAAGCATCAAACAGTGAAAGCAATCACATTAACTCATGAAGAAACATTTCCACAGAAGTTATTAAACAGCGTATTAATTATTGTTAATTTATTTTTCAGCAAATGAGCACATTAGCCCACATGTACAGTTTAAAACAATTCAGAACCCTACTCAGAAGTAATTAATCAAGGGTAACATACTGTAACAAAACAGTGAGAAACAAAGATTAAGATCACCATGGATACCAGGTAACAATTTCAGATGTTAAAAGACTATTTGGTATTAACTCATGCTAGTTATAATACCAACATAGCTTTTTGGGTCTTGTTAAGATGTGTTTTTTGGAAGAGCGCCTTTTGTTGAAAATTTAAAAACTACATTTCATTTTTTTCATAGTGGTACTTAAGAAATGCTCATTTAATTTAACTGTGATAATTTAATGTAAATAATACAAATAAATGACTGTAAGATTAGCTTACAGCTAATAGCTGTGCAGTACAGGAGTTTGGACCAATAAGATTGCACTGTGGGCGGGGCTACCCAGCCACCAAAACAGAAACCGAGCGATCGGTTTGATTAGAACAAAATTTTACATGGAAGAGATGGCTTTTATCTCTTGATGCTTTAGCATGTCATGTCTGTTCATGGTGTTAGAGGAAAGGCTTGTGTATAGTGTAAATACATTTGACCATACAGTATGTTTCCAATTCAGCTGATGTATACAGTTTAAACTATCCTAACACAATGCATGTCAGCTTTCATACCTGCTCTCGAAGCTACTTATATCACCTTAAATGTTTCATTCAAAAACATGGATATCTGTCTTTAACATACATTTGCTTTTACCACATATGGCGTATGATTATTGTAAACATTTTTATACTCTGTTTGAAGCTTTCTGCAGCTAAAACTGCCGCTATATTACACTGGTCTGTTATAAAACACGGATAACAAAAACAGACAGTTTCATTATATGCTTTACTAAGGTCATTCTCAGGAACCAGTGCAAGAATATTATTTCATTTGCAAATGTTACTGTGGAACCTTAAAGAAATCACATTTTCCCACCTTAGGCCCAAATTGTTATTAGTTATTTATCATTACTAGCCCTAAGGCTAACTGTAAAGAGGTACTTTATTTCAACCTGATCACAGTATGTGTGTAATTTATTTATAATTTCAATAATTTAACTGATTATATTCTGGTAGTATTCCTCAGTTTTCTTGTGCCTTGAAATAAATCATAAATTACATTCAGGACAAAAATAATAACCCGTACAATTTTCCTTTTGTTTTAATGCTGTTATACTGAAAATGTTTCAGGGTTGAAGTGCAAAAATGTGTAAAAATAGCTTGTCTAGCTTTTTTGTTTCTTTTTCAAAGAGTAATGTTTTCAGAACATATTATCAGAAAATACATAAAGCATTTTAGAAAACTACATAGCAAAAGCATGATATTTTAATTATAATAAAAGCAACAAAAAAATTTATTCTATAACAGCTAATGGTTTGAATGGGTTTACATTCAAGTTTACATTCAGATTGAAGTAAACTTGTTTTATTTTAAACGTTTACTCTAAATAGGTAAATGTAACATATAATATTAGTAAATTGAGAATCCTATCATAGGATCACATTTATCACACAAACGACTGTTTTTCTGAGAATGACCTATTAACAGTCTGTATAGTATTCAGGAGGATCAGGATGTTTAACTAAACAAACTAACTAACTGTGAGGTCATACGGTATTGATGTAGACAGTGTAACAGGTTTGACAAAGTCTGTAGAGTGGTAGTGTAAATTCACTTCCTCACCATGTTTGGTAAAAGTGTGCAGTGCCTGCATGCATGATGTGAATCTGATGCCTTATCGTGATATGATATTATGTGTTTTTATGTTTCGTTGCACAGTGTTGTACAGTGCTTTGTGTACATTGGGTTTGTTCATGCAGTGTTGACTCAAGCTAGAAACAATGGACACTTAGTAAAGAACACAACACCCTGTCCAAACAAATGTGTCTTTGTCTGTTTCTTCAGGCATGCAATTGGGATAATTGATATACTGTTTTATAAAAAATAACATAGATCGGTGCACAGTTTTGGATTTCGAAGTGAGGTTTAGAGAGAAATTAAACACAGCCTCCAATACAAGCACTTTTGTGGTTTATTTCACATGATCAATTCTGAAATGTCCAAATAAAACCAGAACTGATCCTACAGTATTGGCTTAAAAACGCACAAATAGCAAGACATCAGGGATACAAATTTTGTAAAAATTAAACAGATGAGCACAAATGGATTTAGGAAAAAAATCAGAATGTAATCATAAAATTCAGATCAAACTACTTTAGTTCATACTTTCACCTAGTTATTGCTACTTAGTGCAATAAAATGTGACCATAGTTTCATATCAACTTTAAACTGCCTGAAATAAGTTGACTTTACTAACATATTGAGTGAAATGGTTTACTTACAGGACTTTATTTTATCCATCGGTTTTTGACTGGATATTTAATGTGAGGGTAAAATATTTACTCAGATTTCGCAAACCGGTTGTAAGAAAAATGACGAGGACGTTTCTTGATGATCTTGATTAAGATGTTTATTTCAGCATATCAGTGACAAAGTACATGTAGTCCCATGGGTTCAGTGGAGTTGGAATGAACCCCAAACATCCTAAGCTCACACCTTTTATACAGTTACAGTTTACGACCCTTAATGTAAATGAAGTTGCTCCTATCGTAACAGCTGTGGTCTGTACTGTATGTTAGTGAAGTTCCAACACCCCATTGTCTGAGATGGTTCTCGGTGTCCCACACCAATTCCCATTCTTGGTCACCATTCGCTCAGGATGTGAATATCCCAAATGATCCAGGAACAACATAACTGTTGACTTTCTTCTTCTCTGTAATAATTAAGCCATTTTGGGAAATGAGCATGATCAAACATATATTGTGGAGTGGAATCTGGGTCGGGGCAGCCTGTAGTTTCTTACAGTCCTCCCTTTGATGCTCTTGGCCCAAAAGAAGCATCACACTCACTCCCGTTACACAGATTACACCTTCCTACCTGGGCAGGTGCCCAGTGTCGATGAAGCCCTGCCTAGGTTTGTCCCCCTCTGACCACTGGAGAATCTCACCTGTCATTGGGTCATCACCTCATGCACACCGGTTATCGCTCCATCCAATTAGGCAAAATTTATCATAGAGACTTTTCTCAAATTTGGCAAAATTAAATACAAACATTTTCTTGGGTTTGGGAGAGGAGCACTCGAGAACCATAAAAGCAAATGGATTGTTTAAATGTACACTAAACATTATGACAGTTCAAACACAGCCAAAAGCCAAAGGAGCAAAAATATCAATCAATAGGCAACATAAAGTGTGTGTGTGCAGAGGTGGACAGTAACGGAGTACATTTACTTAATTACTGTACTTAAGTACACTTTTTGAGTATCTGTACTTTACCTGAGTATTATTTTTTTTCTGGAAACATATGATTTAAACTTCACTATATTTGGAAGACAACTATCATACTTTTCACTCCACTACATTTCTGTCTAGGTCCTCGAAGTAGAACGTCGTTACTACGTGCCGGTTGGAAATGGTGAGATGGGGGGGGGGGATTGTCTGTTCAGCTACCTCTGGATAGAGGCTGTGGGCCAGTCTGCTTGTTCTGACGCA